CATTTAATAAATTTATAATAAATGCCTGCAAAGCTTCTACAATGAAACACCTGATTCTGACTTTTAAAAAGTACTACAGACAATTTGATTTACATTCAATTATACTGGACCAAAATTACTCTGCAAACAAAGGTTAAGTTTTTCACAGTGACTATACCATAAAGAGTTTTCTCAACGCTGAATAAATTGCATGTTTGCCCTCGAGGAGCTCATAATCTAGTGTTAAGAAAGGCAGGCATACAGACAAGAGAAGGTTAGCGAATACCACATAACATATACTATCTCATTCATTGGCTTACTTACATCATCATTTCAACACTGATGCATAGCCAAGAATGTCAAAATAAAACTATCCATGTCAGGTTCACAAAACCTCCAAAGCAACAAAATAGAAAGGAGCCATAATATTCATGCCTTTTACTAATAGGAGAGGCTCACTAGGTAGCAACATATTCTCATACCTCAACATGTTCAATTACGTGGTTTTCGTAGTGGCTTATTTGACTGTAAGTTGCGAATCTTTTATTTATTTATTTATTGTCCCACCCTCACCCCCATAAGTTGCAAATTCTAAAAGGAGGCTAATTCTAAAAGCTTGCCAACAAGAGGGGAAAAAAACTACAGCATCAAACCCTCGAAATGGGTTCACTCATCAAATAAACACTGAATAAGTCCCTACTGAATACAAAGATGAAGACAAGATTCAAGCATGGTAGTTTTCACAGAGGAAATTCCTAAAGATTTCTTAAAATGAGAATCCCGGTACTGGCAAAGGATCAAGGCCCCTCAAATACTTTGTAGGGGGTGAGGAAGAGTGTGTATTTTGGAGAGCAATGTAGTAATATGCATCAAAAGCTTTGTTGTACATGCTCTCTGAATTAGCAATTATGCTATAGGAATGTAGGCTATGAAAATCAGAAGCAGTAATAAAGACCCATGACAACCAGGCTTATCACCACATTAACTGCAATAGCAAAAAATTAGAAACATCATACATGTCCATCCTGGGAGATAAATTATATTACATTTACATGACAAAAAAGTAAAAGCCTAATATAAGGAAATACAGATGAAAAGATCATAAAACCATATATAGAATATGAACCCAATTTCTAAATGATTAATACTAACAATACGCAGATGTATAAACCCTGGCCTTTCCACTTACAAGCTTATAAACTTGAAGGTTTTTACTCTCCAAGTTTCATTTTCCTCACTGTAAGATGATGATAATAATAGAACCTACTTCATAAGGATTAAAAGAACAATCCCTGTCCTGGGATTCTGCTCTGAACAAGACACTGACAATGTCAGAAGCTCCCAAAAGGAGCTTCAAACATTCAGGCACTAATCATCTCATGTTTAAATTATAGCGGCTTTCTAATTGGTTTCCCTCTTTATTTTTCCTCACATGCATCCAATACTTATTACCAAATCAATATTCCTAAAACCCTAATTTCATGTCATTTCCCTGCTTTAAAAATCTCTAATGGCCTCAAGATGAGATTCTCCTCAGGCCAACATAACTGGACACCATTCTACCTGTACTGTGAAGTATTAACAGCATGAGTGGAATTAGGCTGTTCAAATTTGAATCCTGAACACTTATTAGCAGTGTGACCCTGAGCAAGTAAGCTAACCCCTCTATGCTTCCTCATCAGCTCCTCACCTCTAAAATGTGGCTACTACTACCTACAATATATGGCTGTTCTTACAAAGTGAAAATTCATATCCAGTGCTTACTTAGCACACAATGCCTGGCACAAGACACGCATCCTTTCAATGTTCGCTATCATTACTTTCCCAAACAAACTGCCTACTCCACCTCCACCTTGGCTGCCCTCCTTGATGATGTCTAAACACACGATGCCCACCGTACAGTCTTTGCTGGTGACATTCTCACCCATGAAGCACCACTCCTTCACCACCACCACCACCAAAGAGTACACATTCAACATTTACACTGTATATTCAAGGTGTAGGCTGGACATACAGGAAAAACAAAAAGTCCCAACCCGCAGAGCTCATGGTCTAATAATGAAAGACAGCCAGAGGAAGAGGTACAACAATGTGTCACTGGTGCCAAGGGAAGCACTTCCTGGAGGCAGGGGAGATGCTTACACTGAATCCTGAAAGCTGGGTGTGTACGTGCAGAGTAAGGACATCCAGTATTGCAGTCACAGTCGCTACCAAGTCTGGCATTGTTGGAGTGCTGAGGTTGAGGGCAGGGAGGGTGAGCAGAGGCCAGACAAGGGACTGGATCAGGGAGATCCTAAAGTGTTTGCAGTTATTCTGTAAGCAACAGGCAGCCACTAAACAATATTAAATAGGGTACACCTGCCTGGGCTCTAGAAAGGGTACACTGTGGTGTCTGACATGGAAGCCACATATGACTACTGACTTGAAATGTGGCTAGTGTGACTGAGGAACTAAATTTTAACTAATTTAAACTTAAAAACTAATTTGCAATTCAGTTACCAGAAAACTTTTATGTACGTTTGCAACAATTAGGGTATGTGAATTTACTTTTTCAACTGTGAGTTTAATGCAATGTAAATATAAATCAGGTATTTCTGATGAAAATTTAACATCCAAGTTTAAATGTGCTGTAAGTGTAAAATATATACTAGATTTCAAAGACAGTACAAAAAAAGTAAAATATCTCATTAATAACCTTTAATCACATGTTAAAAATACTTCAACTATATTAAAGACATTAAAATTAATTTCACCTGTTTCTTTTTACTCTTTAATGTGGCTACTAGAAAATGTAAAATGATGTATGTGGCTTGCATTATATTTCTATTGGACAGCTCTAATCCAATAGATCCAAGGGCAGCTGAAAAAGGAAAGAGACTGGAAGCACGAAGTCCAATTAAAAGATTCTTTGATAAGTGTCCAGATAAGAGAGACAGGCTTAAATTATCTAAATTCTGCCCATCTTCAAAACTTAACTCAAGACCTACTACTACCTCCAAAAGCATTTCCAATCATAACAATTCCTAAGGAGTTGCCTTTCTCTGAATTCCTGGGGCAATTATCTGTAGCATTCACTTCAGCACTTAATCATTTACCACCTATCATTTCTACTTAATTTTGGGGTTATTCAGTTTTGAGAGTAGACTAGAAGTTCCTAGGCTAAGAACCATAATTTAGGTACCTTTATTTTTCCACACTGTGCAATGTGTTTTCAATACTTTTAATAAACAGAAGTACATGGCTCCCCAAATATGTAATCACACAAACATCTCGAGACACCCTCATGGCTGACTTTACCCTTCCACAGTACAAGGTACTGAGATCTCATCTTTTCCTTTGGGCTCCTTAAGGACATGAGCTAAAACGATGTAGAAGTCTACCAAAATGCCAAGCCAATGTTCCAATAAAGCAGTGATATTTAATCAGTGAGCAAGCACTGGTAGACTGTATTAGATAGAAACTATCAGGAAAAAAATATGTCAAGATGACAGAGCACTTTAGGGTTTTCACAAATTCCACTATAAATCAAACAAACAAAAAAAATCTCACTGCCAGAGATAAACTTTACAACCTAAGCGTTAAGAATTTTTACTTGAGGGAAAAACACACAGCTTTAAATTTCAAAAAAATTAACCCCTAAATCAATCTTTCTAAAAAACAACACATTTTGCAGGTAGGGAGCCACATATTACCAGTAAATCTACAACTCAGCTTTTTCGCATCTAAATAAAAGAAAGGTGAAGAAAAGCCTTTCTAAGGAAATGTAGTATTAAGAAATAGTGTAAATATGTTTTACCATATCGTAAAGTATGTCACCTAAAGTACCCTTTAAATTTCTGGAACCCTTAAACTGAATAAACACCTATACAACTGGTCAGCTTTTACCACTACAGAAATAGGAAGCTAGTAGCAACTAGTTGAAAGCAAGGAACACTTTGTGGTTATTAGTACAGATCTTCTGAGACTTTGTAGTTCTCAGATTTTTTATGTGTGTTTGACATTTAAAACATAAAGCTGACACCTTTCTGATAATAAACTAATAAGAAATAAGTTATGACATCGGAACTGATTTTTCCTGCTTGCATTCGTTTAACAGCTACAAAGTTGATATTACAAAGTGCAATGGAAGTTTCTGTCTCCAAACAATCAAGCAATCAAAGATGGAGTCAGGACAGCTCATAAGGAAACAAGGCAATTCTATTCGGAAAGGCAGAATAAGAAATGGGGGAAACCTGTCAAACAGCCTGGATGAAATCAACGAGTTAAAAAGGAACACTCATTTCCTTTAGCGCTGTGAGAAAATTCCAGTTGCTAATAGAAAGCTGAGGAAAGTTTAGTTTGGCTGGTTTCATTTTGTTTTCCTTTCAACAACATCACTGAGTATGAACGACTGCTTTCCTCTCCTCACATTACTCAGTAAAAACTCCCCCATTGAATTGAGTTGTCTTCCGCTGCCACGCTCCCCAGCCTCCTAGATCAACCCCCACCCCCGCCTCCCTCCCTGCAAACGTGCTCAGACGCCTCTGGGCTTGTTGTGGTCTCACCAGTCTGCAGGCGAGCGCTCCAAACTCAATGGACAATGGAGCTCACCCCCCGTCAACGCGAACTACAAAGCTCAGGAGGGCCATTTCCCTTTTCCTGCCCAGATGCTGTTTTCGCTCACTTGGAAGCAGGGTCCCGTGCTAGATCAGAGCCCCAGTTTGGGCTAAGAACCCATGCCTCCTTCCCCACCTGCAGAGCTGCTGAGCCCCTCAACCCCCAAAGAAGTTGCACTGCAGCGCGCAGACCAAAAGGGAACACCTCACCCGGGGCCTGGTTGGGGGCATGGGTTTCACAGTCCAGGTAGGGCAGGAGGGGATGTCTCTGGACGCTTGGTCATGGTCCTCAAGGCTAAGGCGTCTCCACTGTCCCCTCCCCAGCCTCAACTTGCCTCCCCTCCCCCTACAGCGAGAAGACCGGGGAGGTGAGGGCAAGCAGCACTGCCACCTCCACCTCCAGTGGAAACCTCGGCCGACACTCACCCTTTTACCACAAAGAAGGGGTCCTCCATGGACATGGCGTCCCGGCCCCTGGCCGCCTCCGCCTGCTCCGCGCTCAGGGCGCCCGCGCCCTCCTGGCCTCCCTCCGCCCACCACACCGGCTCCTGCTGCCGCCTGCGCCTTGGCCGCGCGTTCTCTGAGCAGCCGGAGCGCGCGCAGCCGGGGTACTCGGGACCACTGCTGGTCCAGCACTCGGTCAGCACCGCAGGCCAAATCCTGGACTCTGGCGCCGGCCCCGGCGACAGCCTCCTCCTCCGGCTCCTCCCGGCGCGTCTATCGGTCCGCCCCCGCCCCCGCCCCCTCGGCCGCGGCCAATTACGAACACGTCCTGCGGCACCACTTCCGCACCCGCTCCCACGTGACCAGGGCCGGTCCCGCCCCTCGTCGGCGGGGCTTGGGCACTGCGTCACGTGGCTCTGGAGGCGGGGCTCTGGAGGTGGTGGAGGGGGGCGGTCTTCTACCGCTTCTCCCCTCTAGCTTGAGGGCGAGGAGGTGGCTGTTCCCTCAGAGATAAGACAATCAGGTTTTCAGGATAGGTGGACTGTAGTTGTGCCTGATTTGCAAAATCCTTTTATCTTTCCTCTGCCTTCAGTACTTGATTTTGACTATATGTGATTTATAAATCCTTCTCGTCCTCGACTTGCAGTAAAGCATGCTCGTACCTAGTACCTGGTTATGGTAATGTTACGCAAATCCTTTATGTTGGTCTTACTATGTGTCGTGCAATGTGCTAAAGGCTGTATACGCATCATCTCAATATTCTTGTGGGGAAGGTATTATTTCTATTTTGTGGATGAGCAAATATTAGTAAGTTCAGAAAGGTTTCAACATTTCCCGCGGTCACACAGCCTGAAGAGGGAAGAGCCACAGAGTCTGTGCACTTTCCACCAGAAGGGGTGAATTTTCTTTTGCTGTACATTCTGCAAATGACCACATAAGGTAATTTTTTCATACTGCATATGATGCTTCCCAGGCGGAAGTACCTTTGAGGGATAAAGAAGGGGCCAGGTATGGCAACTTCCTCTCATCTATGGTTCAAGAGCTCTTCCAGAAATCATTTTGGCCAGAATGATTAGCCAACTCATGTGCTAGATGTGCTATGGACTTCGTGCATGAGGATTGTGGACTTTAATAGCTGAAAATTATTGAGCCCTTACTGTACATCAGGCAGGTGCTAAGTGTTATCTCAGTCGCTCTCACAACGAGGTAGTTGCTGTTATTTATTATCCCCATTTTATGGATGAGGAATCCAACACTCTGGGAGGTTAAATGACTTGCCCAAGGTCACCAGTCTCTGGAGATGGCAGAGTCCTTGGAGCCAGACAAACCCTGTTTGAATCTTGGCTCTGCCATTCAGTTCCTCATCTATAAAACAGAAATTTATCTCAGGGATTGTTGTGAGGGTTAAATAAAAATGCATGTAAACCCGAAGGCCTCAAAGGAGTGAAGTGGTGAAGTCAGGCAAAACAGCCGGGCAGCTGCTGTGGTCATCTGGCCTGAAGGGATGAGGACCAGACCAGGATGATAGCAATTGAGAACAGAGAGGAAGGGGTGAGTCTGATCGATATTTCAAAATAAAAACAAAACGAAACGCATAGACATGATGAGGGACTGAATGAGGTTAGGGAGAGGTGAGAAGAGAGAAGTGAAAGTCAAAATCCTTGGAAGAGCAGTGGAGGGCAGATGTGGGGGAAAGAAGCTATTGGGAGAGAATTGTTTGGTTGTGGCCATATTGAGATGGGGAGGTGAAAAGGAATCATCATTCATTCATTTATTCAACAAACACACATAAGTTGAGGGGCAGATGAGCATAGTGATTAAGAGCCATACTTGGAGCCTCATTGCTTGAGTTCAAATCCCAGCTCTGCTACTTCCTAACTGCCCTGTCTTGGGCAAGCTGCTTAATCTCTCACTATCCTCCACTGTGAAATGGACACCATGATAACACCTTCCCCGTAGATGTCGCGAGGATTGAGGTGATGTGTGAAAAGTTCTTAGAACAGTGCCTGACAAGTGTTGTGCTCCTACTATGTGCTAAGCACAGAGGACACAGAGATGAACAAGGCTTGGTTCTTGCCGTCAGGGCACTCTCAGACTGGTGGGAGAGACAGGCAGTTACACACAAAGAGAGAAGGGCACAGGTTGCCATAGAAACACAGAGACAAGATACCAGTCTATTCGTGTGCGTGCTGGGCTGGGGTGGGGGCTCCTGTGTAGTGAGGAGAAGGGGCAGTGTTGCAGGAGTAAGAAGGAATGGGGTGGGGGCAACTTGGACTAAGGCTGGAGGGTGGCAGGGTCAGATGTCGGGATCCTCGATCATGATATTAAGAACTGTGGACCCTCTCCTGTAGATCATGGGGACTGAGGGAAATGACAGGGTTAGACTGGCATTTGAGACAGATGCTGTGGTGGCTGGGAGGTCATGGTCCAGAGGAGGTTTGAGGTGTCCTGAGCCAGGCTCATGGCAACTAAGATGGAGAAGAGGATGCATTTGAGAAGTACTTTAGAGGCAAAATCAGTAGACTTGGTGACTGATTGCTTCAGGGTGTGGGAGAGCTGGAGAAAGAAGAGGGAGGAAGGCTTACAGGGTTCTAGAATTGTAAGTGGGTAGTGTAGGTTCCAATCATCAAGAAAGAGAACACAGGGGGAGGATTTGATTTAGGATGGGTATAAATTAGGTGCTCTCATGTTGGTCTTCCCCACCAAACTGTTAACTCCTGGAGAGATAGGGTACTGTGTTAATGTTACTACCATCTAAGTGCCTAACTAGGTCTCTTATTGTTTGTTCCGTGAATTTATTAATTGAACCGCAAGTGAGAGGTCAGAGTTTTATAAGTAGAAACCTAGAGGACAGCCACTTGAAGAATTCCCATAATTAAGGGTTTAGAAAAAGCACCTATAATGGAAATAGTGGAGGGTTGAGATATGAAACGTCTGTGGGCGTGTGGGTGTTCCTTTCTTTGATGTGTCACCCTCTCTCAAACCTTGGCCTCCAATGCCCCAGGGAAAGGGAGGCTTCAACTACAATGCAAGGAGAAACGAAGGGAGTTTTTTCTTTCTTTCTTTTTTCCTTTCCTTTCAACCCACCCTCTTTCTTTCTTTCCTTCTTTCTTTCCTTCTTTCTTCCCTTCCTCCCTTCCTTTCTTCCCTTCCTTTCTTCCCTTTCTTTCTTTCCTTTTCTTCCTTCCTTCCTTCCTTTCTTTCTTTCCTTCCTTCTTTCTTTCTTCCTTCCTTCCCTTCCTTTCTTTCCTTTCTTTTTTTCTTTTCCCTTCCTTCATTTTCTCCTTCTTTATTTCTTTTTAATAGACCCCAGGTCCCAACAATACCTTTGGAAGAATACTCAGCAAAAACCTGTATCTTCCCACACTCCCACTCCTACTCCTATCCCCCCAAAAGGAAGAATTAAAATTTCTCATGGAGTGAAGAATCAAAACAGTAATTGCCTCAGAGTAAAGAGTATTGACTGGAAAGGGAAACTTCCTGGGGTACTAGAAATGTTCTGTATCTTGACAGGATGTGGGTTACATGGGGGTATGTGTTTGTCAGAACTCATCAAACTGTAAAACTCTTAAATTCTGTTCATTTTGCTGGGGGAGGCTGACATACCAACTCTGAGTTTTCTTAGAGTTCTGAGAGGGCATCCAGGAGAACCTCTGGTTCCTGAGTGAGTCTCCAAAGTTAGGAGAATGAATGATGAAGGGAGCTTGCCAGGGTCCTGCAAGGCATCTTCTGCAGAAATGAAGAAATAGCAAAGTCTGGGTGCGGTGGCTCACGCCTGTAATCCTCGCACTCTGGGAGACCAAGGTGGGAGAATTGCATGAGCTCAGGAGTTCAAGACCAGCCTGAGCAAGAGTGAGACCCCGTCTCTACCAAAACTAGAAAAATTAGCTGGGCATCATGGTGTGCACCTGTAGTCCCAGCTACTGGGGAGGCTGAGGCAGGAGGATTGTTTAAGCCTAGGAGTTTGAGGTTGCTGTGAGCTACAGTGACACCACTGCACTCTACCCCAGGGAGACAGAGTGAGACTCTGTCTCAAGGAAAAAAAAAAAGAAAAGAAAAAGAAAGAAATGGCAAAGCAGAGAAGAGGGCACAGGCAGCAGGGCCATGGAGTCAATGAGGATGAAGATCGGAAAGGATCAAATCATATCTCATGGCTAAGGATGCCAGGGTAGACCTGAGAGGGATTGCATGAGGTAGCCACCCCCTCCCTCTAGAAGCTGTAGGAGTGCCATGACACCTCTCCAAGGGGATCTCCTCTGCTCTAAAATGGAAATAATGACACCCAGCCTGCTCCCTTACTAGACTGTTGTGAGGATCAACTGGATCATATATGAGAAAGCATTTTCCAAAGTATGAAATCCTATAAGCCACCCTAAATCTTTTTTTATTATTTAAAAATGTTTTAATTGCAGTAAAATACACATAACATAAAATTTACTATCTTAACCATTTTTTTTAGGTTTTTTTTTATTTCAGCATATTATGGGGGTACAGTTGTTTAGGTTATGTATGTTGCCCTTGCCTCCCCACTCCGCCCCAAGTCCGAGTTTCAAGTGTGCCCATCCATTGGATGGTGCGCATTGCACTCTTTGTGTATGCAAATACCCGTCCCCTCCTTCCCCTTCCCCCTCCCCCTGCCCGACATCCAATAGATGTTATTCTTATATGTGCACTTATGTGTTGATCAGTTAATACCAATTTGATTGTGAGTACATGTGGTGCTTGTTTTTCCATTCTTGGGATACTTCACTTAGTAGAATGCATTCCAACTCTATCCAGGAGTATACAAGAGGTGCTATATGACCATTGTTTCTTAAAGCTGAATAGTACTCCATGGTATACATATACCACATTTTATTAATCCACTCATGTATTGATGGACACTTGGGTTGTTTCCACATCTTTGCAATTGTGAATTGTGCTGCTATAAACATTCGGGTGCAGGTGTCTTTCTTATAGAGTATTATCTTAACCATTTTTAAGTGTACAGTTCAGTAGTGTTCACCTTGTTATGCAACTCCACAACTCTTTTCATCTTGTAACACTGAAACTCTATACCCATTAAACAACTCCCTATTCTCCCCGCCCCCGGCCACCTGCCACCCCACCAACTGCCAGTCGCTGGCAACTATCATTCTATTGTCTGTCCCTATGAATCTGACTACTCTGGGTACCTTCTATAAGTGGAATCATACAGGATCAATCTTTTAATGATTTATTTCCTTAAGCATAAACTCCTAAAGGTACACCCACGATATAGCATATTGCAGGATTTCTTTCCTTTTTAAGGCTGAATAATATTCCTCTGTACGCAGACCACATTTTGTTTGTTCATTCACCCATAAATGGACTTTTGGATTACTTTCACCTTTTGGCTATCATGAATAATGCTACTATGAACATACATGTACAAATATCTTTTTGAAAATCTGCTTTCAATTATCTTGGATATACACCCAGAAGTGAAATTGCTGGATTATATAGTAATTCTATTTTTAATTTTTTAAAGAACATTCATACTGTTCTCCATAGTGGCTGCACCATTTTACATTCCTACTAAAAGTGCACAAGATGTTCTATAATCTCTTCACATCTTCTCCAACACTTGTTATTTTCTGGGAGATATATATGCATTATCTTCACAAGTGACTTCAGAATTTCCATAGGAGGCAGATTTTAGAGTGTAATTTGGTGGGACAGCAAGGCTAGGGGGCTTGAACTGAGGTTGCATGGCAGACCCCACTGTCTTTTCTTAAATTATAGATTTATTTGGGATTGCTTAAGAAGACTGATGGCGATTATGTGTGTGTAGTAATAGTGGTCCAAAGTCCCAAGAATGGTTCCACCACTGCTGATTTCATTGAATCCTCACAACAACCCTGTGAGGCAGATACTGTTATTACCCCCATTTTCTACATGAGAAATCCGAGGCTTAGAGATGTTAATACTTTTCCTAAGGTCACTTAGATAGGAAATGTCAGAGCCTCATTTGAAAACAAGTCTGACTCCTGAACCCACGTTCTTTGCTACAGTATTCTACTGCCCATTTGTAGGAGGGCTAGCCTTGCCCAAAATTGGCAAATGGACTGAGTATCCCAAGTTCTCTTTCCTCTTAACAGAAAATGGCTCAGATCAGACTTGATACGTGCACACACACACACTTTTATTGAATTTTTTAAAAATAGCCAAGAGGAAACTACTTATTGAATGTGTAAAATATATTATGTCGAAAACAACATTATTTAACAAACAAGACCCTTTTGATAATTTGATAATTTGCCTTTTGGTTTTTGAAGATGAGTCGCCCCATTTACAAATGAATCGGATTCCTCAGAAGGGCCTTAAAATACATATAATAAATCAGGTACTAAAAAGCTAAAGAGATAAAGGGATTCCTAGGAACAAGAGAAGCACAAGCCACTCTGCAAAGTGCAGCCTGAGCTTCGAGTATAGGCAATTCCTTAGAGGTAGGGCTTGTTCTTCCCAAAGAGAGTGCGAGGGACGGTCCCCACCTCGGTGCTTCCCAGCTTAGTGGGGCAGTCTTTACTCATCTTTGAAGATCTTTGTCATGATTACATCTATTTATTTTAAATTTTAAGAGCTAATAAAGCTATGCTGTAAAAAATGCATATTGATATTGGGAAATATCAATTTGAAAAGAATTTATAAAATAGTATTAGAATGTGAAACCTTTTTTTGGTAAAATGAACCAAAAAGGGTGTGCTTATATATGTACATACTTGTCATAGCAAAACCACTGAAAAGATATGTACTGAAATATATTAATAGTGGTTACCTCTGATAGGTGATTTTTATCTTTTTACTCTCTGATTTTTTTGAGTATTTTCCAAGTATGCTGGATGGAATTTACTAATTTGCAATTAGAATAAAATGATCTAAAAATGAAAGACATGGTCACTATACCGGCTTTCTTTCTTTGTTTTTTATTTCAGCATATTATGGGGGAACAGATGTTTAGGTTATGTATGTTGCCCTTGCCCCCGCTTCCGCCCATACCTGCTTTCTTAATACCTACCTTTTAATGTAAATGCACCATATTATAGTACACTATGCATTTTTGGAACAAGATATTAACAGAAATTCAAAGGAACAAATACACTGCCATGGGACTCCAATGCTAGTGAGACCTCGGGGACTAGGGGCGCAGTCTCTGAAAGGACACATGGGTGCCCATGCTTGTTAAATGAACAACAAAGCGAAGAACAAAGGAAGGAAGGAGAAAGAAAAGGAAGAAAGAAATGCGAAGATCTGAGAAGAGAAGGTGCCAGGAGGTGCTGAGAGGTTACCAAATATTAATCTCATTATCTGGCTTCTTTTTTTTCGTTTGAGTAAAGGAAGTTATATTAGTTTCCTACTGTTGCTATAACAAATCCGCAAACTTAGTGGTCTAAAACAACACAAATTAATTCTCTTACAGTTTTGGAGAATAGAAAGCCAAAAATGTGTCTTATAGGCTAAAATCAAAGTGTTGGCAGGGTTGCGTTCCTTCTGGAGGCTCGAGGGGGAATCTGTTCCTTCTCTTCTCTAGTTCTAGAGGCTGTCTACATTCCTTGGCTCATGTTCCACTTTCAGCAATGGCATCACTCTGACCTCTGCTTCCATCGTCACATCTCTTTCCCTGACTCTGACCCTTCTGCCTCCCTCCAGTAAGGACCCTTGTGATTATACTGGGCCCACCAGATAATCCATGATAATCCCCCTATCTCAAGATCCTTAATGTAATCACATGTGCAAAGCCCCTTTTGCCGTGTAAGGTAACATATTCACAGGCTCTGGGGATTAGGATGTGGACACATCTCTGGGCCAGGCAATTCTCAGCCTACCACAGAAGGATACCGTTATATATGGTTCTACTACCTACTAAGTGCATAATAAACAGAAACTCATCTAATCCTTTGACAACCCTGTAAAATGTATGACAGGATTTGCTTTTAAAGTTAACTGAGCCTCAGTGCAATTTGGGATTCTGCCCAAGGTCAAATAGCTGGGATGCAAACCCAGGTCCCTGAACCTGAACTCAAGCCTGCCTGCCTCATGGCCTCGCCTCTGTTCATCTCTCCCATTCACCTCTGCTTCCTCTTCTCTGCCTGGGCCTGTTCCCCAACTCCCTGGGCAAGCTGCAGCTGCTGTTTTCCGACTTGTCATGTGCTCCTGGGAATTGCCGATACAGATACAGCAAGGCTAGTGGCTGCCTCTTGGAATCTTCTCTTAGGCCTGTCTCTTGCCCTCCTTTATTCAATAATCATTTTTTGGGCTTATCGTGCTGGGTGCTAGAGCAGCAGGGAAGACACACCTAAGGTAAAGATTACAGGACAATCTAAACGATACGTGCTATATCAGAACTATAGCATTGTAGGGGGCCAGAACAGGGAGTTCCAAGCCCTGGGAACTTTGTGTGACTCTTTGTCATGGACCCTTGGGCAAAAATCTAAGCTCCAGGGGAAGAAGCAAAGGCAGAAACTTGAGTTCCTTGAATGACCAGGTATTATTAATGTTTGTTTTCCTGTGCCTTGCACGTAAGTGCGCTCCAGAAATATTTAAAAGTTGGGAACAGAGTGAAGACAGGCACACTGAAAGGAACAAGCAGCGTCTGAAACCAACAGAGGGTTAAAAGAGACTATGGAGAGTGCTTTCATTTTGTCTGTCTCTATTCTACCTAGCAACTGATGACACTGTATAGTTTTCACTGTTCTTATTGGGAGAGGGCCATGCGTGTCACTCAGTAGCTACATTACCCAATAGGTTCTCAAAAGGATCAACAAGGACCTGTCAGTGGCTTCCCATAGCTGCTAGCCTCTGGAAGCCCATCCAGTTAAAAGAATCCAGAAAGAGAAGGACTCTAGGGGGGATGATGGTGCTCCTGTTCCCTGTCATCATTGCATTAACGGGGAAGCACAGCGGTGCCCGTGAGTATCCCAAGTTCTCTTGGCTTCTAACTCCAAAGCTGGGGCAGCTTAGGAGGAACAGCTTTTTGTCCTAAAACGTGTGTTGTAAAACATAGAAGCCCAGGGCAGAAAAGTGTATGTCTTACACTCAGGACTTGAGGAGTAATGGACTACCTGAACACTACTTTTCCGGTTCATGTTTGTGGCATTTTGATGTCATCCACCTTCTGAGGGGGTGGAAGCCATTCTGGAAAGACGCCCCGTGACTTCCTCACTTTTTGTCCAAGTGTTGCCTCCCTTATTTTCTGCTCATGTCCTTTCTTTTACTTTGTTTCTCCTTTTTTCTAACTTAGCAAGTCTCTCGATGTTCTGGAAGAGATTTTAAAAAAAAAAAACCTAAAAATAAATAGTAACGTAGCCAGTCTCCTGAGGATGTCGTCAGAGGTTCAGTGGCATTGAACAGTGGAGCAGATCCATTGTTCAGGTTTATTTATGCGTTTCCTCCTCACCACAAGCCCTACCTGTAACAAAAGATCCAAGAAAGATAAAACCATGGCTCTGGGCTTGTTTACTGGGAGTAAGAAATATTAATTGAGTAGAAGGAAAAGGTTTTTTTTTTTTTTTTGAGACAAGTTCTCACTCTGTCGCCTGGGGTACAGTGCACTGCACTCTCTGCAACCTCACACTCCTGGGCTCCAGAGATCCTCTTGCCCCAGCCTCCCCAGTAGCTGGGACTACAGGTGTGCCATCATACCTAGCTAGTTTTTTTCTATGTTTAGTAGAGACGGGATCTGTTCTTGCTCAGGCTGGTCTTTAACTCCTGACCTCCAGCAATCCTCCTGCCTCGGCCTCCCAGAGTGCTAGGATTGAAGGAAGAGTTTTCCACTGTTTCAGAGCCCGTGCAGATGCATTCTGTTGCTTCAGATATGCGAGAAGGCCGATGGGTTGGAAGCACCAGGCTTCTCTGCCCTAGGCAGCGGAAGGCTGGCACTCCTAGGGGTTGGCAGGCAACACCCAGAACTCAGACGCGGCCACCACCAAAGGTGGTGACTGGTGAGCACGACAGGAAGATACTGTTTCAAATCGCTCGTGTATTCATTCTACAAATATTGATTGATGACCTATTTCGTGCTAGGTACTTTGGGGGATATGACAGTGAACAAAACACACATAGTCTCTGCTTCCATGAAAATTTAATCCAGAAGTCTCATGATTTAAGTCAGAAGTGGGAAAGATTGGGGGTGAGGATAAGAGCAGAAGATGAAAGAGGAAGGGAGAAGGGAAGTAAAGGGTGATATTTCTAGAAGTTAAAGGGCTTATATATTACCTGCATGTAATCCTCAAAGAACTCTCCAATAATATGAAACAATATTCCTTAAACATGTTATCCCACGTGACAATCTCACTAACCCTTTGTGATAGGCTAAGAAAATATCCCCACGTAAAGACGAGGGCTAGATTTTTCTCTAGGTCTAGAGAGACTGAAGACACTCACATAATGAGCAGTCTGAAGTAGATCGTGGTCTTCTGGCCCTCAGTCCAGGGCTTTTCCATAATATCCACAACATCACTTTGCCTCTGGATGTGAACACTTTGATGACTGGTGGAAAGAGAAATAAAACAAGTAAGTTATAAAGGGTAGGGAAGGTCACTTTGTGCTGGTCATTCTCCTTTTGACTCCTTAGACTCCATCTTTCTCTGTCCTGCTTTGTGACCTGGAGGCTGACCGCTAGACCACATCACCCAGGCTCTCTTGCAGGCTGATTTCTGTTTGGGTTTGCCCAATGGGAGACACTGAAAGGACAGAGATCAGAGAGCAGGGAGGAAAAAGAGTCTGGGATCTGTCTTTCTTGCTCCCTCCCCTCTCTAGGTAATGTCTGAGGCAGCAGCTGTGTGCCTCTGTGATAAGGTCTTTCCTGAATAACCCTTCTTTATGGTTCTAGCTCCCAAGGGGCATCAGTAACACTCCTTACTATTCTTATCTCTTCAACCCCAGGGTGATAATGGCTTCCTATAATTGCTAGCTCTGGGTGCCCTTCATCCTTGCTTGTTCCTTAACCTTGACCAGACCTCTGTAAGGAGTCCCTTCCTTAAGGGGGCTAAGGCTATTTCCTGCCAAGACCCTCACTGAACATTCCTGAGCTTTGAGGGACATCAACAGGGAAAGGATATGAGGTTATGAAAAAAGACTTTGTCTACTAGATATTTGTGCCTACTGCTAGCTCTGATAGGGGCTTCTATACCACTGATAGGTGGGGAAACACAGGGAGGAGATAGAGTGTTTGGGGTCACAACTCCAGGAAATGTCAAAATAAATCCTGTATCAGTTCCAATGTGTTGCTCTCATCAACTCCATGGCCTGCAGTTGACTGTTTTTCCTTTGTGTACCCATAGCTCCTGTTCACAGGTCTATAATTTTCTGTGTACACAAATATTCCCTTTGAGGGTATGCTTAAAGGCAGGGAGAGATATCCTCATTTTTATCTTCTTTGTCTGCCACTGCCTAGTGCCCAGTAGGTACTTAATAAATGCTTCCTGAGTGAATTTATGTTCAAAGGTAATGTCCCTGCGAAATTGCAGTTACTTGACTGTGAGCCATAGAGATACCGGGCAGCATTAATGATTGAAACTTTGAAACTGTGATTTCAAAATTCATATTCAAAAGGTGTTTCATGCTTCTACAATTCTCCTGTTCTTCATTTCAGCCTGTGCAAAACTGTGAACTGGTGATATGGTTGGATGTAATCAGGTTGGGGGCTTGCATGAGATTTTTCTTGCATAGCTATATGTGGTTTGTGTGTTTCATCTTGACATAACCAAGGTCAGTTTCTTGATATTACTCATAATTTTATGGATGTACCAATCTGCTGTATCAATCTACTTCATGAGTGGTAGAGTCCTTCACAGACAAGGACTAATGATGGATAAGCTCCCTAAGCTGCCAACTGGGCGAGTGTTAAAAGACAGACTTGCAGATTATCTGCTTAGAATTGACCTTGAGTTCAAAGAGTTAACATGAGAAAATATGGGCATTTGCTATAGATCAGCGGTCCCCAACCTTTTTGGCACCAGGGACTGGCTTCATGGAAAACAATCCTTCCACGGATGGGCACAGGGATGGAGGGGTGGGTAGTGATGGTGGGAGGAGGTTAGTCCCAGGATGACCCAAGTGCACCACATTCATTGTGCAGTCAAACCTGTCTGCCAATGACAATCTGCACTTGCAGCTGCTCCCCAACGCCAGCACCACCGCCCCAGATCATCAGGTACCAGACTCTCTAACCTAGATCCCTCAGTAGGGTTCTCCTCCTATGAGAATCCAATGCCTCCGCTGATCTGACAGGAGGCAGAGCCCACGCGGTCATGCGAGCGATGGGGAGCAAACACAGATGAAGCCTGCCTCTCCCACCTGCCCGCCCACCTCTCGCCACGAGGCCTGGCCCCCTTGCATGGACCAGCAGTGGTCCTCAGCTATAGACTTTATTAGACTTCAGTCTGTGTCCATGGAGCTGTTGCCAAGGTACATGCAATAGGATTTTCTCCAAGAAAATGTTTCACTCCCCTAAAGCCCTCTTTTTGGTTGACATTGAATCTATCTAAATTTGGACAATTCAACTAATTTGTAGATTTTTCTTTTGACTAGTTGAAATATCTGTCTATTTTCACTTGACCTCAGTCCTCTTACACCACAAGATTGCCAAGAACTGGAGAGAGCGAGGCAGAGTTAAAGATCAAACCCATGACTCTTTTACACTTTTATTTTAGGAAACTCAAATTGAAACAGATGACAAAGGACATTCTTTCTGATGTGCAAATTTATATTTATTAGGAAAAATATTTCAAGGGGATACATATCAAATCAGATTTTGTTACAACTTCAATGAATCATTTAAAAAAGAACAAGTTTATAATATTGAGAATCTTGTGGGAAATATGAGACATGGTCATCAAAGCATACAGAGTACTGAGGGGAAAAAACAACCAGAGCTCGCTCATTCATTCCCGAAAACTCTCCACGGCCCTACCCTGGGTCTCCTCACTGTTTCTCAAACACACCCTCCTTAAAGACTTGGGCTTTCTGTTCTGTCTGGAAGGTTCTTTTGTCATGGCTCACTTACTTACTGCATTCACATCCCTGCTCAAATACCATCTGCTCAGAGAGGTTTTTCCTGGTCCTTCTTCCTAAAAGATCAGCCTTCTCCACACGCTATCTCCTTTCTCCGCTTTAATTTTCTTCATAACCGTTATACCACCTGACCCTGAATTATATTTTTATTTATTGCCAATCTCCCTTCTAGAAATTAGCTCAGAGTGCTGGGACTTTGACGTGTTCATTGCTATATCCCTAGCAGCTTAGACTGTGCATATTGGAAATTCAGAAAAGAATAAAACCTAAGCCAGGCACAGTGGCTCATGCCTGTAATCTCAGCACTTTGTGAGGCCAAGGCGGGAGGATTGCTTGAGGCTGGGAGTTTAAGACCAGCCTATGCAACAAAGTAAGACCCTGTCTCTACAAAAAATAAAAACATAGCCAGGCGTGGTGGTGCACATCTGCAGTCCCAGCTACTTGGAAGGCTGAGGCAGGAGGATCGCTTGAATCCGGGAGTTCGAGGCTGCAGTGAGCTATGATCATACCACTGCACTCCAGCTTGGGTGACAGAGTGAGACCTTGTCTAAAAAATAAGATAAAATAAAACCTATTCAAAATGAGACATTGGTAAGCTTCAAAAGGGTAGCCTCAAGAGAGTAGCTAAGAAGTCAAACGGTCACGTTCAGCACTTTTAGGCTCTCTGTAAGTTCCTGTAGTTAGATGAGTTATTCTTTCTGCATGGAGAAAGAACTGTTAGTCCATATCCAGTGCGTGGTTTGAGAAATGTCCAGAGGTCCTCTTAACTAAAAATATCGCCATCCACTTCTCCCTCTCATTCCCACGATGCCTGAAATTCCAAAGAGTAGTTCCCAGGAATCATAATCATTTTGACCTCATGAAGGCATTGAACTCCTTGGGAAGGCCAAGAAAT